ATATATATATATTGCAAAATTGGAGAAGCAAAATGAATGCAAACTCAGAAACGTTGCAAAATTAACATAATATTAATTAAGTATTGACATTATCATAATTTCATAATTAGTATTACTATTACATTGCACTATCGTCGTGGTTCAGTATAAAACACGTACAACAGTAACATTGACCCAGCCGACTTCTCGGTTAACTCTTTCGCTCGGACTTATTCGAGTCGTTCGAGTTGTTCGACTTATTCTGCAGGTCGTTCACATCAATATGTGAGGCATCATGGTGAAATCAGGCGCTCGTCAAAATAATGGAAAGTCAAGAAACGCATTTTCCTGCAGGTTTGGGAATTTCAATGAAAGTTTTGTTGTTTGGCTCAACACCTTTCATGCCCACTAAATAAGACATTTATGTGTGGATTTTACTGGAAAAACGTTGATTAAAGGCATAACAAATGTAAATTTTCAGTTTCCACAGACTCTCAAGCTAAGGAAATAACTAAACTTTGGCGGCCATTTTGTCGATAATTTTAACTCTGAAACTAGGCAACCCTCACCTCCTTCAATATCCTATATCTAGACTTGTATTCAACATAAATGGATTTTGCTTTCATCAAAAGCAAGACAAATGAACAAGGCTTTAAGATGATATCATTAACTCAATATTACGCCCCAAAAATGACGGGCGCCTTATTCCACGGCATCGTGACACATACGTATTCCACAGTTTTACCTACTAGTGGTCGAAAATGACGTACTATCGATCCAGGATTGTTTCCCAATTCTCTGCAGGGGTGAGTCTATTTCAAACTCGGATATAGTTTTGTTTGAAGAAGGAGAAACATGTCTACGCTTTTGCGGTCAAGACGTGTTAGGAGACAGCGAGACAGACAGACAGACAGACAGACAGACAGACAGACAGACAGACGGACAGACGGACAGACAGAAAGGCAGGCAGGCAGGCAGGCAGGCAGTTTGTATGTTTGTTTATTTGTTTATTTGTTTATTTGTCTGTTTGTTTGAGTGTGTGGGGTGAGAGTGTTTTGTGTTCCTTTACGACACTAAAAAAAAAGAGAAAAAAATGGCAGCTATATAGAATATTGTAGATGTTATGTTTTGTAATGTTTTGTTTTGTTTTGGAAAATGAAACCCGAAATCAAATTATTAGCCAAGAAACAAGACCAAAAAAAAAAGCTGATAATAAATGATGAGTCTAACTTTCCAGCTGCAGGACTTGTAC